TTTTTTTTTTTTTTTTTTGAGATGGAGTCTTGCTTTGTTGCCCAGGCTGGAGTAAAGTGGCATGATCTCGGCTCACTGCAACCTCCACCTCCCAGGTTCAAGTGATTGCCTGCCTCAGCCTTCCAAAGTGCTGGGATTACAGGCGTGAGCCACCATGTGCAACAGGCCCAGGCTACTCTTCTGAGTGCTGCATGTGTGTCTCAGCTCATGCATGGCCTGTGTCTGAAGCCTGCAGGGGCCATCCCCATTTTAGAGAGGAGGTGCCAGAGGCACAGAGGGCGGGGTAACCTGCCCAGGACACGGAGCTGGGCAGATGGAGCTGGGGCCCCTTTCCAGGCCAGCCCTGTCTAGCCTCTGCTCCACGGGCCCTGCAGGAGGCAGCCGTTGGGGACCTGCTCTCTTCTCACTACATTTTAAAATAAGAGCATTTCTCCTGATCATTATACTTTTGTTCCATTCCATGTTACAGGTGTCACTGTAAAAGGTGGATGGTGCTCACAGAGGAGGAGCGTGTGTCTGCCGTCATGTGCATCCTCCTCTGCTCACAGTGGAGGCATCTTTGGAAGAAATGACATTTTCTGGTACAGAGACCATTCCCTCCCCCATACCCTCTCCTAAGACTTTGTATTGAAACAAAGTAAATCTTGCAGAAAATCCCCGGCCCTGGGAACAAAATGCCTGATTCCTCCAATCATCCTTTGGTTCATTTCTCCCAGTTAGTTCCAGAATTCAGAGAGTTCCAGAACTGCAGAACAATGTCGGGAAGCACACAGAGGGAGCACCCTCCCAAGGTGGGGAGCACCAGCCTGGTCACCACTTTCAGGGGAGAGTCTCAGCAGGAGGCCTGGGCTGGGGCAGGTGTGGGAGGCAGTCTGTTCAGAAGCAGCAGGGAGGTGAGCACACAACAGAGGAAAGAGCCTGGCCAGGGGGCGGCAGAGGAGCCAGAGGGGAGGGAGCCCAGGGCTGGGGATGGGGCAGGGGGACGCCAGGGCTTTGGTCCAGCAAGGCCAGCAAGCAGAAAGGGGCATCAGTGGGCCTAGCAGGTAGAGCAGGCAGTGGTCCCTGATCTGAGGCATCGTGTGCAGCCTCCTTGGCAGGCTTGTCCTGGCCCTGATGTTCGTCTGGAGCTTGGGTTCTATTTCTACCTTCCTGGGCCCTTGCTCCAGGAGACACCTGCACTGTGAGTGACCTCCCAGGCCCAACCAAGTGCAGGCCTCACTTCATGCTGCTTTCTCACCTGGATGGGAGGATCTCCCGAGGGACCCTTGGATCCTGGCCTCAGGAACCATCCCAGGGACACCCCCACCCAGCAACTTGTGGTAGGGACAGTGAGTGAAGGGCAGGGGTCTGCCTCCCCCCATGCCTTCACACTCAGAGGGAGGAATGGGGGTGGGCGTGGCCCCCAAATGTCCCCCAGGATGCCATGCGTGCCCCCACACTGAGCTCCGTCCTTCCTTCCACATCTCCTGCCCGGAGTTGTTCCCTGGCAGGCTGAGCTCCTGCCTCCTCTTGTCCCCATGTCACAGAAGGGCAGTGGCTGGTGTCCCGGGCCACCCTGTCTTGCAATTTGCTCGTCTGGTCCCAGGTGCTCAATTCTAGTCTCTCCCAAGGGCCTGAGCTCCTTTCTACGGGCTCTCTGATCCCTGGTTCCACTTTTCTATTCTGCTTTTTGGAAAGCTCCTGGCATCTGAAGCCTCCCGTTATCCAAGCCTACTCTTTTATAAAATCTTACTCAACAGCCCGGCCAATGTGACAAAACCCCATCTCTACTGAAAATACAAAAATTAGCTGGGCATAATGGCATGCACCTGTAATCCCAGGTACTTGGGAGGCTGAGGAGGAGAATCGCTTCAACCTGGGAGGTGGAGGTTGCAGTGAGCGAGATCATGCCTGCCACTGTAGTCCAGCCTGGTCAACAGGGCGAGACCCTGTCTCAAAGAAAAAAAAAAATCTTACTCAAATGGGACCTTGATCACAGAGTGTTTTCTTGGCTCTTACTCCATCTCCATCCCTGTAGGGGGTGGATTTGCAAGAGGACAGGCATGAGCAGGAGGCGGGGCTGGGTGCTGTTGGGTGGGGAAGCCATGGGGTGCGGTCCAGGTGCAGCAAGGTGTGGAGGGAGGGGTTGGGAGGGTCAGGGCAGGACTGGCCTAGGAGACAGACACACAGAACCGGGACCCCTGCACTCCCCACCCAAGCTTGACCCAAAGCGCCCTGTGTCATTGTCATGAGCTAGATTGCATCTTCCCAGCACTGATAGGTTGAAGCCCTCATCCCCACCTGTTTCACAGTGTAACTGCATTTGGACGCTTGTCCACTGAAGTGGTGATTCTATTAATTCATGGCCCTTAGTGTGGGCCCTAATCCTGTCTGACTGGGGTCCATAAAAGAGGAGGACATTTGGAGGCAAAGAGACCCCAGGGGTGCAGGTGCACAGAGGACAGGCCACAGAGGACCCAACGTGAGGGACCCCTGCCAGCCAGGAGGAGCTGCCTCTGAGGAAACAACCCTGCCCACAGCTCCACCTTGAACTTGCAGCCTCCAGATCTGTGAGAAAATAAACTGCCGTGTGGGAACCTGGCCCGGGACATCTTCTATGGCAGCCGAAGCCTGAAGCTCCGTTTCCACGGAGGCAGCTCCTTCTCAGAGGCTCAGGTCGGCCTTGAAGAATGTTGCCGAAAGCTTCCAACTGTTGGACTTATAAATATTCACGTCCATTTATGAGAAATTCAGTTATGCCATGGAGATGGAAGGAGCCTGGCTGGGGCTCCCAGGCTGTGGGGAGGCTGGCCTCGGGGGTGTAGGGAGATCTCTCTGGTGGCAGAAGGGTCCTCTCACTCACAGGAAGGGCCCAGAAAAGTTGGGAGGAGGCAGTGAGTTGGCGGGAGCACCAGGAGTAGGGGTGAAGGGGTAGGCAGGGGCAGGAGGGCCGGGCCAGGGAGGCCTCAGGAAGATGAGTAGCAGGTGAGAGGAGAGAGAGGACGAGGCCAGAGGGAGACCCTCACCTGAGAATCTCCTGTAGCTTGCAGCGCAGGAATGTGTAATTGTCTTTGAAGTTGTCCCGACACCTGAATGGCTTATGTTCTTTATATACAAAGTTTTCCCAGCAGTATTTAAGTTCTGAGATGAAGAGGCAGGAAGCAGTCAGGTTCTGCTTGGCCCTGGGCCTGCCCTCCCAGGCCTGGTCTCCTGGCTGTCCGTTTAGGTCAGTGCCTGCCCCGACCCCTGCAGGCTGCCCTGAGACACCCCTACTCAGGGCATTGCAGATCCATCCGTCCCTCAGGCTGTTCTTCCCTCTCAAGCTCCCCTGACCCCTCCACCTCCTCACCTTCATAGTCCATGATCTTCACACGGGCCCCTGTCTGACACAGCTTGCGAAGCGCCCTCCGCCAATCTTTTTTCAAGAAGCAGTAGAGGCGGGCGGTGGAGACGGTCAGGGTGACGTTGGGGTGCTCAGCCAGGAACTCGGCCACCTTTGCCACACAGTACAGGCAGGGGTTCCAGGATACAAACCAAGTGATCTGGAAGCGTTTGCAAGCAGGCAGCAGTTTGCCGCGGAACCAAGAGAGGAAGTACATTTCTGCATGGGGCTCACGGTTGAAACTGACCTGGGGGAGGAGCAAGGGGGAGCAGGGAAAGCTCTGAGAGGAGGAGCAGGAGGAGCACTGGGATGGGGCAGGGGAAGGAGGGGCCCGGACAGGAGCCCAGGGGATCTTGTTCATTGAAGCTCCTTTCCTCCATCCCCCCTGTTTGGTTTGAGTGTCTGCTCCAAAGCTCATGTTCAGGGTTAATTGCTATTGTAACGGCCTTACGAGGTGGCACCAACACTCGGCTATGAGGCTGTGGGGGCTACACCTTTGTGGGTACCACTGGGGTGGTTATTCAAGGGTGACTTCAGCCCCTCTCTCTGTCTCTTCCCCTCCAGCTGGAGGGGCAGCGTGTCAGACTAAACTCCTGCTTCCTCTGTCCCCGTGGGGTGGAGAAGCAGTAACTCCACATCCCAGGCCGCTCTGTCTGCAGCATCCCCTGAGCTTCCCCAACAACCTTCACCCCCACGTGACAGTGCAGCTCGCAGGCCCCGGAAACTTGCTGGTGCCTTGATGTTGGACTTCGCAGAGTCCAGAACTGGAGCCAAAGCATTTCTGTTCATTGTAAATTTCCCCGTCTCAGTCATGCTGTTGAAGCATCACAGGGTGCACTGAGACACGTGCTTCCCTTCTGTCGGTAGTTTTCCTGGCCCTGTTCACAGCCTCATGCGTGAATTCTGGCATCCCTTCTCCCAGGCATCCATTCACCAGACATGCTCAGCCCCTGCTGTGTCCTGGCCCTCTGGGGTCGGCCTCATTCTCTGCCTGCCTCCTGCTGGGGAGGCCGCTGGACCTGTGCTGTCCCATGTGGGGTGGTGGGCATGGGCCAAGGGGGCTATGGAGCACTTGAAATGGGGCCTGATGAGAGACCTGGGCACAGGAAACATACACAGCTCATTTCAAAGGCTCAGTGTAAGAAGAAAATGAAACTTCACTGTGTTGTGAAGAATTTTATATTAATTAATGTTGAAATAATATGTCAGCTACATTGGATTAAATAAAATATGAAAATTGCTGGAAGGGAGCAGTGGCTTACACATGTAATCCCAGCACTTGGGGAGGCCAAGGCGGATAGATCACAAGGTCAGGAGTTCGAGACCAGCCTGGCCAACATTGTGAAACCACATCTCTACCGAAAATAGGAAAATTAGCGAGGTGTGGTGGCATATGTCTGTAATTCCAGCTACTTGAGAGGCTGAGGAAGGAGAATTGCTAGAATCCAGCAGGCGGAGGTTGCAGTGAGCCGAGATCACACCACTGCACTCAAGCCTGGGTGACAGACTGACACCGGTCTCAAAAACAAACAAAAGCCATGTGCAGTGGTCCACGCCTGTAATCCCACCACTTTGGGAGCCTGAAGTGGGCAGATCACAAGGTCAAGAGATCAGAACCATCCCTGCCAACATAGTGAAACCCTGTATCTACTAAAAATACAAAAATTAGCTGGGCATGGTGGCATGTGCCTGTAGTCCCAGCTACTCGGGAGGCTGATGCAGCAGAATCACTTGAGCTCGGGAAGTGGAGATTGCAGTGAGTAAAGATGACGCTGCACTCCAGCCTGGTGATATAGCAAGACTCTGTCTCAAAAAAAAAATTGCTTTTCCAGTTCTTGTCTCCTTTTTAATGCGTGGGGACTGGAAACACTTGTGCTTGGCTCCTGACTCCTGGGTGTTTCCGTGGCCAGCACTGCTATAGGCCAGGCCTGCCCAGCACACAGAGAGCTCCCGGCCAAACACACTCTGAAATGTCTCCTGCCTGGGTGGAGAGGGCTGCAGGGGTGGGTGGGACAAGGCAGGGGGTTTAGTGTCCCGAGTGGGAGTGGCAAGGTGAGGAGTGAGGGTTCACCGTCCTGTGATGATGTGTGCTTGCCAGGGAAGAATCAGGGCAGTGGCCAGGGCAGTCAAGCCAGAAGGTCTGAGACACAGACTTAAATGTAGGAAGGGGAGGCTGGACGAGGTGGTTCACAACTGTAATCCCAGGACTCTAAGAGGCCGAGACGGGTGATTCATCTGAGGTCAGGAGTTCAAGACCAGACTGGCCAACATAATGAAAACCATCTCTACAATAAATACAAAAAATTTGCTGGATATGGTGGCACACATCTGTAATCCCAGCTACTCCAGAGGCTGAAGCAGAAGAATCACTTGAACCAGGGAGGCAGAGGTTTCGGTGAGCTGAGATCGTGCCACTGCACTCCAGTGTGGGCAACAAGAGCAAGACTCCATATCCACAAAGAACAAAAAAAAAGAAGGAGAAAGAGAGAGAGAAAGAGAGAGAGAAAGAGAGGGAGAAAGAAAGGGAGAAAGAGAGAAAGAAAGAAAGAAAAAAGAAAGAAAGAAAGAAGAAAGAAAGAGAAAGAAAGAAAGAAAGAAAGAAAGAAAGAAAGAAAGAAAGAAAGAAAGAAAGAAAGAAAGAAAGAAAGAAGGAAAGAAAGAAAAGAAGGAAAGAAAGAAAGGGAAAGAGAAAAAGGAAGGAAGGAAGGAAAGAGGGAGGGAAGGAAGGAAGGAAAGAAGGAGGGAAAGAAGAAAGAAAGAAAGGAGAAATGTGGGAAGAAACAGACAGTTGAGAGCCCGCCGCCGCCACACGTTTTACTTAGTCTTATGTTTTCTGCATTCCCAGCTGCTTAGATCCTG